CTCTCCTGTCGCTCCCCGCCGTCTCGGTGGGGCGGGGGTGTGGGGGGGGGGGGGGGGGAGTGAGCGAGCAGCTGTGGTGCTTAGTTGCCAGCTGGGGTTAAACCATGACATCTACCTACATAAGGATATAGCATAGCATAGGATTTTTAGGCAAAACTTGTGATCACTGATCAAATAAAATCATTTAGTGGCATCACTAAATGTATTGGCTCCATTGAAATATTCACTTTTATTCATGATCTTATGTAGTTTCTAAAGTTGTATATAGTTTATTGCTTTATGCACATCACATCATTATTTATTTATTTTTCTATTATCTTTAAGAATGGAATTGTCATTTAACATTTACTGTCCTGTAAGGAAATAACAGCAAAACCCCCTAGTGAATGAACTGGTTGTATTCATAAAATGCCTTATTGTTCTGTCCTGTCATCCAAACTGTCATCTGAAACTTTCAGTGCTATATTCTCAAACTGCACTCATCATTACTTTAAATTTATTTTTATGTGCAATTTTATAAGGTAAATATCCACAAGTATCCAGGTGATCCCACAGCTCTTGGAGACGGATGAAATAAAGCTGACAGTAAATCCTGAGACATCACACTTCTAAACAAAGCCTGCCAGCTGAACTAAAATAATAACTCTGTTAACTTTTGAAAGACCCATCATTCATAGTTTATCCCACATTAGATGTGCCAACATTAGAAAAGTATATTTGTTAGCCAGTTCTACATGAAAAAGAAATAAAAGGACTACTGTTGTGGTTAACTGTTAATTTTCTACATGCTGAAGCAAAAGAAAAAGGCAGACCCAAGACAAAATGAATAAAGGAGTAGTAGCATATTTGACAGAAACTAGGAAACACTAATCAAGGACTAACTGTCTAATGAATGAAATGAAAAGGCTAATGTGCTTACTCATGCATAACAAATGCAAGGCACAAACAAGCCAGGGATCAATGCCCACTGCAGATGGCAAACAGGCAGTTGTTTCCATGCAAGGTTGATTTGATAAAAATTTTCCCCTGCCTGAACATTTTCTGACTCCAAAATGGATCAACTAACTTAATGAGCTGAGAGGTAAAAAGAGTAATACACAAAGCTAATTTTGACAAGCACAACACAAGACAGGCCCATGTCAGACCAATTTCATACAAAAATTGTTTTAAGGCTATTTTTATTAATTCAGACTGTAAAACCAGAGCAGTAACTGCACACAGATAAGCTCAAAAGTAGGGGAGCTGCTAAGGCTTCTTTTAGTTTATACTGTCCAACTGCTCTTTTGAACCCTTGAGTCCAACGTACAGAGTCCTTAGATTCCCTAGCACAGGGACCTCTTCCCAACCACAACTCCATGCTACAGGAAAATCTGACACCAGCCCATGCTGGTTGCCTGTTAGCAAAATAATCCTTTGCTTTAGGGGAAAAAAAGAAAAGAGAAAAAAAAGAGAAACTACACTGAGTTTTCTGTTTTTCAAACGTCTATCACCTTTTACTTGTTAAGATAGTAGCATACAGACTAGTATAAATAAATGAAAAACAACCGGAAGAACTGAAAGTAACAGGAACTTGAAAGTGGGTAGGAATGCAAATTCTGTCTCCTAAGAGCTACAGGAATTACCAGATGTCATCCCTGATTCCTGAGGAACAACCGTTAAAAGTTTTGTATTTCTGGATGAGGAGAGCAGAGGGTCCTTCATTGCGCGCTGTTTCGGCTACACTTGAAAAAGGTTTCATTTTAGCAGACTTCATTCAGCCATTTCAAAAAGAGGCATCTAGCCTAACCTATTTAGAGCATAGAACTGTTGTTGGATCCATGGAGAATTAATTTCTTTTTTGTGTCACAAACCATATTAAAATCACCTAATTAACTATACTGAGAAACAGAGCAATATCCACATGCATGGTAAGTCAAATATTGTTTGCATATTGTTGCTTTAATATGCTGACCTTTCCTTGTACCTGATATTGTGGATGGCCAGCAAAATATGAGAAATTATTTTTGGATTTGATAAAACTGATATAAAAGAGAAAACCCAGGAGTCAGTAAAGCAAGCTCACATGCTTCATGATATTACCTAGCAAGGTAACAAGTGAACAGGTTTTTTTAGAAAGGTCATTTGACAGTCAGATACTGGTCCATAGTTAATATCACCTGTGGGCATTATTTATTAATTTTTTATTAATAAATTGATAGGTATGCTAGCCTGAAATACAATTTTCCAGCAGTACTATACCTGAATTTAAATATTTTCCATTTTTAAAAGTAACACACCATAAGTGCACACAAACATGCCTAAAATTTGCAAGAGCTTTATTATTAATAATAATTATTATTATATACTAGAGGAGAAACAATGCTGTCAGGCCTGTTGCAAGGTGAAAGGAGGAGGAAGGTCTTATGGGATCATTGTAATATGAAACTAGCACCTTTCACTACACCCATGCTTCAGTCACAAAGCTCATTTTACACCTAAAGCATTGTAATATTTTTCACCAAAGCATCCAAGAATGGAGATTTTTTTCAGGAATACTTTTTCATCAAAATCAATGTTGGTGCACAAAATAATGCTGAATACAGAGCATTTAAAAACAGAACTAAGTAACTAATTAGACAATTTTGTGTTTCTGAGAATATTATA